ACGACCCACCCCCAGCACGACCACGCCCAGCACACCAACGCCCCCAGCACGACCAGCCCGCACGACCACCCCCCAGCACGACCACCCCCCAAGCACGACCACGCCCCAGCACGACCACCCCCCAGCACGACCACACCCCAGCACGACCACTCCCCAGCACGACCACACCCCAGCACGACCACACCCCAGCACGACCACACCCAGTCGCACCCCCGTGGAATGTTTCGTGGCGTGTCTGGTTGAGTGGTTGCCTGTTCGTGGGGTGTCTCGTGGAATGTTTCACGGGGTGTCTCGTGGAATGTTTCGTGAGGTGTCTCGTGGAATGTTTCGTGAGGTGTCTCGGGGGATGTTTCGCGGGGTGTCTCGTGGGATGTTTCGTGAGATGTCGCCCAGTTGGGTATCGTGAAAACGTGACCATGCTGCACATGTCTTTATCCCTTTCCGGGTTCGTGGGTCCATCATGTTTCCCTGATAAATATCGAGGTCGAAGGAGGCCGGCGAAATTATGTTTGAGGATGTCTCGAGCGAAACGCTTGTTTTTCACAATTTGTTGAGGATGTCGCGAGCGAGACGCTGGTTTTGCAGAGTTGGGGATGTCTCGAGCGAAACGCTTGGTTTCAGAATTTGTTGAGGATGTCTCGAGCGACACGCTGGTTTTGCAGAGCCGACCGCGACACGGAAAAGCGCCCCTCGCGCAGGAATTCTGAGGATGTCTCGCGCGTGCCGCGTCCCGCGCGCAGGGATTTCGAGGATGTCTCGACTAATTCGGTTGTTTTTCCAGCACGACCCACCCCAGCACGACCCCACCCCAGCACGACCCCACCCTAGCACGACCACACCCCAGCACGACCACACCCCAGAACGACCACACCCCAGCACGAACCACACCCATCACTACCCCACCCAAGACGACCCCACCCCATCACGACCACACCCCAGCACGACCACACCCCAGCACGACCCACCCCAGCACGAACCCCAGCAAGACCACACCCCAGCACGACCACACCCCAGCACGACCTCACCACAGCACGACCACACCCCAGCACGACCACGCCCCAGCACGACCACGCCCCAGCACGACCACGCCCCAGCACGACCACCCCCCATCACGACCACCCCCCCAGCACGACCACACCCCCACGACCACGCACGACCACACCCCAGCACGACCACTCCCCAGCACGACCACACCGCCTTGGTTGAGTGGTTGCCTGTCGTCGTGGAATGTTTCGTGGGGTGTCTCGTGGAATGTTTCGCGGGGTGTCTCGTGGAATGTTTCGTGAGGTGTCTCGTGGAATGTTTCGTGAGGTGTCTCGTGGGATGTTTCGTGAAGTGTCTCGTGGGATGTTTCGTGAGGTGTTGCCCAGTTGGGTATCGTGAAAACGTGTCCATGCTCCACATGTCTATATCCCTTTCCGGGTTCGTGGGTCCATCATGTTGACTTCGTTGCTCTTGCCCTTCCGCAGCGTCCCATATCCCTCATGCTTCACGCGGCTCTCGCCGTTCCTGTTCTTGTGCTTGCCCCCCTGCTCCTCCACAAGTCGGTCGAAGTCCTTCCCGAGCTCCCTGCGTGTCCTCGTCGACGCCTCGTTGTTCAGCATCCAGCCGATGTACTGCGACTTGGTGAGCAGCATGTCGTCCTCCAGCTCCTGGTCGAACTGCTTCTCCACGTGCTCCTCGATCTCCGCGTGCTCCCGCTTCGCATTCGCCACTGCCTGGGTCCTAACCTCGGGCTCGGCGCTCGGGAGAAACGGAGCCACCGAAGCTCGCCACGCCATGGGGTCGTTCTTGTAGTTCTGCTTGTTGGCCTCCTTCGCCGCGGGAAAGTTGCTCATGCTTCGCCAGTGGGCCCTGACCCCCTCATAGCAGCCCTGGTGGAAGGTGTGCCCGTCGTGGCGGCAGGGGAGGTTCGTGAGCACATCATCCAAGTTGCAAGCGTGGCACGTGCCCGTCTCCATCACAGCATCGTCAAAGAAGAGATCCTCATCTAACGCGCTACCTCCCGCCGACGGAGCCCTCGAGCTTGTCCTCGACGCCATCGGAGCGGACCCGAGCACCGTACTTCTCAGTATAGGCTACCTCCGCGCAGCAGAGGCTTGGAAATGTCACTTGTGACACCAACGGTCTTTGGCCAAAATGGCTACTGATGGGATGTGTTATGTTAACTCTTGATCTCTGGATTCCCTCTGAATTGTATCGGGGCATTTGTTCGTTCAGGATAATGTTTTTATGTTTGGCGTTTGCGTTTCTCCAGCGTTTTCGTAAGTGCTCCCCCCCATCCCTCTCGCTCCTACTCCTCCTCACCGTCCCCTCCCCCCCCCCCCCCGAAAACAAAAAATCACGCGGGGTGTGTTTGTCCCTCAATTCTGAGCCTTCAACTGGTGGTGGAGGGTCTTCTTCTG